CCTGTTAAGATGGGGGACCTTGGACAGGGCAGAAAAATTTTTCCCCCGTGTGCCACACAGAGTGAGAATGCAACCTTAGGGTGCCATGGAAATGCTTTCCTCCACCACAAGACAGGCCTGGGCTCTGGAAAGAGAGGTGAGGGGGGGCACTGCCACCACACCCCAAAGTGGACCTGGTACCTCCACTCTCTGCTATGCATCTTGGGGCAAGTTGCTTCCCTGCTCTGAACCTATTTTACCAGCAGAACTTTGTCAGCAGCTGCTATAGACTCCCCCACCGCCATCTCTCCCTTCCCTGCCCCTCCCCCCAGGCCTGAGGTTCTCACAAAAATGCCTCCAATATCCCAGCGTGAGTGTCCCAGACCTAGGCAGGGAGCTGGGGGCACTTCAGTGGGTGGAGTGCTGCCTCTGGGTTGCCCACATGACTCCCCTGGTGCCTGTCCGAGCCTCAGTTTCCCCATCTGCAACATGGGGAAGAGAAACGCTGCCTCTCTCATGAGATGCTGGGTGCACAGGTTCCTAATGATTGGTTTGACTCTAAAGTTCAAGTGCAAGGCAGAGGGGCAGGTACTTAAGTTTGTGGGCAGTGGGAACCCCAGAAGGTGCCTGGAGCAGGGCAGTGGGCTGGCGGGGCTGCGGTTCAGTCAGCTCTTGCTCAAGTCCACACAGCAGAACAGGGCACAGCCAGGGTTCAAACCCAGGCCCCGATCTTCCACTGGGGACTTCTGCCTCCAGGTGGCCAGTCTTGGGTGTAACTTGTAACCTGAGACTCCAAGTAGTTGCTGGTTTTCCAGGAAGTCTATGCTGTCTGAACAACCCTTCGCCTGTGCCCCTTCTCCCCTCCATCAGCACCTGGCTGGGGCCCCTGCTCCCACTCTGTCCAGGCTGGAACCCCTACCCAACGCCTCAGCACCCTCACCCACCACCCATAGTCACCAGCTGCTGTGGCTTCTTCCTTCCTGGTGTTTGGGTTTTAATTTTTGTGTTGCAGTTAGAAAATTACCCATAATTACAGCTCTGAGAGGAAATGTCTCCTGGTGCAGACCCTGCTCCCAGCTGTGGCCCCCTCCATCGCAGGGCTGAGGAGGGCCGCCAGCCCGGATCCTGGCTCCTTCCAAAGCCTCCCACTGTAATGAGAAGGGGGCTGCTCCCGTCTCCTGTGGAGAGAAAAAACCATTATCAGGAAAACCCCAAATCAGCTTCCCCTACTACTTTTGCAACATATTCACAGCCAGACATCTGGGTCCACAGGGAGGGCCCATCCTGAGAGAGGCAGAGCTGCAAACAGACTACTCGAGACATTATTTTATCAACAGTGACAAGTATACAGGCTAGTGTAGAACCAGTAATATGGAGGATGTGGCCAGGGAAGGCGAGGAGGGGGAAGGGGACAGAGAGGGGGAAGGGGACAGAGGAGGAACTGCTGGGAGCAAAGGCCAGAGGAAGAGCCAGAATAGGCCAGGCCTGGAGCCAGAGAGTTCCAGGCGGCAGGAGCAGCCAGTGCAAGGCCTAGGAGGTGGGCCCTCGAAGGGTCTGAGAATGGAAGGGCTGGAAGGAAGTGAATGGGGGGAGGGAAGGCCCCTCTTCCAGGCAGCCCCCATACCTCAAAGCAGAACCTGCTTCGCCCCCCTCCCACCAGGCACTGCCCCGACCCTCCGCGGGGGAGGGGTATGGGGGTCGTTGGTGGTCCCTAGAGACCCAGCTCAGGGCTGCAGTCCCCACACTCAGCCACACACGGTGGGCCCTAGACTGCGAAGGGGTCGCAGGTCTGGGATCCAGTCTTGACCCTTCACCTCCTTGCTGACGACCCCACTCCTGGGCCCCTTGACCAGGCCCATGGCCCCTGTCTACCTAGGCCTCCCGATCTACTGCTCAGCCTCAAGTAGCTTCTTAAAACCCCGCCCCTAGGCCCTCCACAGCTTCCTGTGGCTTCCTATTTCTTTTAGAACAAACCCCAACCCCTTCGGCTCCTCTGCACCCCCCCCACCCCCCCATCATTCCCCTGCTCCAGCTAAGCTACGCAGCCCTCCTCGCTCTGCCTCTCACACCTGAACTCCGTGCCCACCTCGGGGCTTTTGCACTTGCTGTGGCTGCCGTGTGAACATCCTGCTTCCAGACCGTTCAAATCCACTTCTACCCTCATTAAAACATGTGTTTCCCGTGCCCACCCTCGCATGGGTGGGTGGGTGGGTGGGGCTCTTTCTGCAGGTTCTGCTCTTGCAATGCGTGCGCCGCGGTTGGATGTGCGCGCAGCTCAGCTTCCCAGACGCCGCGTGGGGGCCCAACGCCCGCTGTTCTAGGGCTTTTCCGCCGGCGCCGAGGTTGTGTTTGGAGATCCGTCCCGTTGCCATGAGAACCGCGCTTGGCCGCTCCCGCCCGCCTCCCCCTCCGCAGCTCGCGGGGCAGCGGGCGCCTCCCCCCCTCTCCCTCCTCCAGAGCCTGGCCGACCCTGCCGTCGTCCTGTCCCCCTCCACCGGAGACCCCCCGCCCCCGGCCCAGCACGTGGCACTCGGTGAAATTGTCCCACCGACTCTCCAGCTTTTCATCATTCTCCTTCCCCATCATGCCCGCTACTCCCCGAGCGACCGAGTCCCGAGAGCCGGTACACAGCAGGCGCTCAATAAATGTTGTGGAGACTCAAGGAACCAAGGCTCAGAAAGGACGAGGGACCTGCCCAGGGCACACAGAATCCCGGGGAGCCACGGAGCACTGGGAGATAAACGGGGGGGGGGGGGGGGGGGTGTCGAGAGGAGCGTTTGCGGGGCCCGGGAGCCTCAGCTGTCACAACACGTGTGACTCGGGTGGGGACACCCTCTCGGTGCGCTCGTGGGGAGCAGGCGCTGGAGACTGGTGGTGGGAGTGGGCATTAGGAAGAGGCTGTCCTGGCCCCCGCCGGGCGCTGGAGAGTCCCCATCTCCAGGCAGGACCCAAGAATGTTGGCCGCGCCCCCATCAGCCCGGAGCTCGGGCCCCTCCTCCGCGCCGGCCGGGCTCGGGAGGCCCACGGGAGAGGAAGCTGGGGGAGGGGACGGCCAGCTGGACAGGAAATGGGTAGGGCCGGCGTCCCCCGTCCCCCTGACCCGGGCCCCTCGGGATGGAGGCGGGGCTGGGGCCGGCCTGGCCCCTCCCTTCCTCTTCGCCTGTCTGGAACCCCAGCGGCTCCCCACTTCCCGCCCGCCTGCAGCCTGAGTGGTGGCAGGGGAATCCTGTACTGGGGGGCGGCCTCAGAGAGGGAGGCATAATGGGGGTTCCACAGGCAGCGGGAGGGGGCGTCCCCCTCAAGACAAATACACGACACAGGAAACGAGTGCACAACCACACACCACAGGTCCCAATCCACCCACGCGCGGAGGCACACGCACGCGCGCGCACACACAAGTGCACACAACCTGACGCCGCGTCCCTCGGCCCCCACACTCGCCACGGACACACACGCTGCCGCAGAGTCCCGGGCCGGACCTTCGCTGGATGCCTGCCCACACCCCGGGCGCAGTGATGCTCGTGGGCGCTCGCACAGGAACGTGAACACACACACTCGCCGTAGTTGCACAGCAAAAAACAAAAACAAAAATCCCACCCACGGCCAATAGTCATAGAAACAGCCAGACTTGGAGTCACACAACTGGGCCACTTCGCCCCGCCCCCTCCTGCCGCCCCCACCCCCACCCCCCATCCCTCCCACCCCCACCACCCCCGTCTGCTAACGCAGCCCGCAGGTGCCCGGCACAGGCCTCCACCGGACCCAGGCTCTCCTGCCTTGGTGCCCTTGTCTCAGCGACTGCCCCTAACTGCTCTGCGTGCCCCTGGGGTCAGAGGGCCCAGGAGGGGGAAGGGGGCACCCACTGTCTGCACCCTTAGTTCCTGCAGAGGGACAATTAAAGGTGGTTGGAGCCTCATTTACAGTCGGCAACACTGAGACTGAGGCCTCACCAGCGACAGCCCCCAGCACCTACACTAACAGAGGGTGACTGTGAAGCAGTGCACGATGGCCCCCAGGGTCTGGCCTGTGGACCCCAGGAGCCTGTCCATGTGGGATGTCTGTGTTGTGTGGTGTGTGGCTGTGGGGTCCACAGGCTCGGTGAAACCCCAGGTGCAAGCACAGAGCCCGCAGGAGCTGAGGGAGCGCCAGGCGAGTGTGAACAGCTGCCCTGGGCTCTCTCCCCGCTGCTGGAAGCTGTGGGTGGCTGTGCCCATGTGAGCGGGATGCGTCTCGCTCTTCTGTGACCCCCACTGCCGGGCTTTGTGCCGCCCTCTGTGTAACGGCATGTTCCCGGGTGAGGGGGAGCCGAGTGAGGGGCCCTGCGGGATGACACACTCAGTGTGATGCCCACCGCAGGAGTTGTGCCAGGGTCTGAGATTGTGTTCCCGGGTGTGTAAATTGGGTGGCTGGTCCTGAGGCGCGCGTGTGTGTGTGTGTGTGTGTGTGTGCGCGCGCGCGCATAGCCTTAATCAGCTGTGTCCCACTGTGTGTCCTGAGATGTTATGGGGCCACTACACACACACACACACACACACACACACACACACACACACACGGGCCCTGCGCGTGCACACACACACACGCCACACACACACACACACACACACACACACACGGCCCTGCGCGTGCACACAACACACACACACACACACACACACACACACGGGCCCTGCGCGTGCACACACACACACGCCACACACACACACACACACACACACACACACACGGCCCTGCGCGTGCACACAACACACACACACACACACACACACACACGGGCCCTGCGCGTGCACACACACACACGCCACACACACACACACACACACACGGCCCTGCGCGTGCACACAACACACACACACACACACACACACACACACACACACACACACACGCCCTGCGCGTGCGCGCCGGCCCGCGGTTCCAGCGGCGGGACCCACCCGCGCGCCCGCCATCGCCCCTTTAAGAGCGGCGCCCGCGGGCGGCAGGGAGGTGGCGGGCGGGGGCGCGCGCGGCGGGAGGAGGGGGCGCGCGCTTCCCGGAACAGCCCGCGCTGTGGGAAGAGAGGAAGAAAATAAACCCGCGGCTGAAGCTGGTGCCGCCGCCGCCGTGTGGGCTCCCCCGCGCGGATGCTGCCCGCGGTGCCTGCGCAGGGCGCGGGGCGGTGAGGCGCGGGGCGCGGGTAGCTATGGCGACGACGAGCGCGGCCAGCCGCGCCGCCTGACAGGTGTGGGCCCCGGCGGCGGCGGCGCGGAGCATTATGTACGCCAAAGGGGGCAAGAGCGCGGCCGTGCCCTCCGACAGTCAGGCCCGGGAGAAGTGAGTCGGGGCCGGGGGCGGAGCTCGGCGGCCCCGCGGGTGCCGTGGGCCCCAGCGCCGGCGCGCGCTGCGAGGGGCACGTGGGCGCGGGCTGCCGGACGGGAGGGACCCGAGTGCGGTGAAGGGGCCGCGAGACTTGCGAGGGAGCGCGAGACCCGAGGGGCGCAAGACTGGAGGGGGCCGCGAGCCTCGGGGGGTCAGGGGCGCAGGAAGCGGGAAGGTTGGAGAGGGCGTGCGGGACCTGCGAGGTCCTGAGAGTTGAGGGGTGTGAGTTTACGGGGGGCGGGGGGCGCGCTACACTCGAGGGCCGCGAGGCGCCCCAGCGGCGTGAAGGGCTGGGCGGTTTGCGGGGACGCGCGAGGCCCGAGGGCGTGACTTTTGAGGGGGCGTGCGAGGTCCGAGCGGCACTGGGGGTCGCGAGGGCTCCCCGACGGCAGCAGCTTGAGTGAGCGCGGTTGCGGGCGCACTCTCCAGGGGGCGTTTGCAGGGCCGGTCGGCTGGCCTTTCTGGACCCTCGCGCCTCTTGGAGAGGTTGAGAGGCCACCTGTCCTGGCAGCTGAGGGGGACCCCTGAGAGGCCCCAAGGCTCAGTCCTGCAGCCGAGCCCCGGGGTGTCGGCGCCCAGAAGCCCCTCCTCTTGCTGGGTGTGGCGTTGGGTCCTGGACACGGGGTGCTCTTGAGCGGGTGGGAGGGCAGCACTAACTCCCAGACCCTCAGCGGGTGCGGGCTGGGGGCCCTCAAAACTGGGAGCTTGGTCTGGGCCTGGCGGCAGCCTGCAGCTGGCATTGCCACTTACCGTCTCTGTGGCTTTGGGCAAAGGCGCGCCCCGCGCCCAGGCGCATTTTCCTTCCCAGAGCAATGCAAGAGGATCATCAGTGCCATCTCTTAGTGTGGGGGAGAGCTGGAAAGGTGCTTGGAGCTGCGACCTTCCTTCGCAAGGGCACCGGGTGGCCGGCAGTTTTGTTAAAGTGCCAGGGAAGATGCCTGCAGGAGGGAAGGCTTCCCATGGCTGATGGCCAATGGCCTAGTAGTCGCAGGATCCTAAGAAATCCAGGCACCTCCAGTGGCCTTGATGGGAAACAGGACAGCGAGGAGGCGGAGTCCTGATGGAGAGGTCCCACCATGACGCTCCTGGAGGGCCAGGCCAAGAGGGAGGACTTGGCTGTCCGGGCAGAGGAGCCCTGGGTGTGGGCCTGCAGCACCCCTCTCTCGTCCTGCTCTTCTACCTGAGCTAACAATGGGACCGCCCCTCCCCTCCACAGGGACAAGGCCATTCTCTGCCCAACTTTGGGGCCATTTTGGAGAAGAGAGTCTTCTACCCAGAAGATGCCAGGCAGATCACTGCCTTTCAGGCCTTCCTTGCCCATCTGCACAGTTTGGAGGTTGGGTTCCATTTTCGAGCCCCTTTAAGCACAAAGACTTTTTGAAACTGGCATGTGGCTCCTGCCCAGCTTGGGAGAGAGCATGCCTGGCGTTGCCACCCCATCCCTGGGGGTCCTGGTGTGTCCCTGGGCATCTTCTTACACTGGTTTTGGGGTCTGGGTAGAGTGTGGTAGTTGGGAAGGCAGGCCCCAGCCCCGAAGAGTCCCGCATCCTAGCATGGAGGCAGGCGGCGAGTTACCTGGGCAAATCAATGGGAGGCCAAGTAGAGGGATGATCTTGATATTCTATGAAGAAAGCAAAGGAGGAAAGCGGGTGATAGTAAAGTATGAGGGGGCTGTGCAGAGGCCTGGAGGAAGAGTAGGCGGCTGAGGGCACCGCAAGTGCAAAGGCCCTGGGATGAGGCCTGGCAGAGGAGCTGGGCTGGTGCCCTGGTGGGGGAAGAGCAGTCCTTGAGGGCTCTGTGGGCCAGAGGGGCTTGTGTGTGTGAAAGTGCACTCCAGCTCCCATGTGGAGTGTGGCTTATAGGGGGTCAGGGGTAGAGGCCAGGGGGTCTGGGGGAAGTGGGCACAATAATCTGGGTAAGAGCTGATGATGGCCCTGGCTGGTTTGGCTCAGTGGATAGAGCATCAGCCTGGGGACTGAAGGGTCCCGGGTTTGATTCCGGTCAAGGGTTGCTCAATCCCCAGTGCGGGGCATGCAGGAGGCAGCCAATTGATGGTTCTCTCTCATCATTGATGTTTCTATCTCTAGCTCTCCTCCCTTCCTCTCAAATCAATAAAAAAATATATATATATAAAATATTTTTTTTAAAAAGCTGATGATGGCAGCTTATGTGTGGCTGTGGAGAGCAAAGAAGGGAGAGAATCAGAGATTTGAGCTGAAGGTAGTGGGGTTGGGAGTTGGGTTTCAATCCCATCAGACATCCCAGGAGAGATTTGATTTTTTGAACCTGGCCTTGACTCTTGGCCAGGGCTGGAGACGGAGGGGGTTATCTGAATCCTGGTCCCTTCCCCCTCATGCCCTCACTCCTTAGCCTGCCCAACAGAGGGTCTCAGCGATGGGGGAGTCTGCAGAAACATCTCCCGTGGAGGCCAGAGATGCCCCAGTCCCCTTTTGGCCAGAGCCATCCTGCACTCATCTGTTTCCTGTAGAGGGTCCTGGAGGAATGTTGGTTTGGGGATGGGGCTCTGCTGTTAAAGTTTGGGAAACACCACGTGGTTGCATCCCCTGTTTCACCGAAGGGGATGCCAGGGCCTGGAGAGGAAGTGACCTGCCAAGCTCCGAAGCACTAGCGAGGTAGCCTGGCTGCTTTTGAGACGTGGCCTGCTGGCCTTGCAGGATTATCACAAGGACTGGGTAAGCGGCTGCAGGTAGAGGTCCCTGCATACGCAGCCACCAACGAAGCCACTTCCTGTCTCGGCCTCGGTTTCCTCCTCTGCGAAATGGAGTGGAGGAGCCGCCCTGGCTCTCCTGGACTGTGCTTTCCTCTCCTTCCTGCTGATCCCGTCTCAGTGTGGGGTCTGGGTCAGACGGCCTCAGAAACAGACTCTGCCTGGGGGTCCCTGCCCTCGGGGATGCACAGCAAAGTCTAAAAGTGCAGCGATGGGGTGGCCTGGAGGGTGAGAGGGAGCTGGGGTCCTAGTGGGCTACTCGTGTCAAGGCTCAGCCTGTTCTGTCAATGGCAAATACTTGCAGCCTGTGGTGAAGCCCGTGAATGGCTGCCACCTGGAATGAACTAGTACTTGCATTTGTAGTTGGTTTGGGTCCTTTTATTATTACTTTTTAAATGGTTTATTTTTTATTTTTTTACTTTAGAGAGAGAGGAAGGGAGAGGGAAAGAGAGAAACATCGATGGGCTGCCTCCTGCACACCCCCACTGGGGATCAAGCCGGCAACCTGGGTATGTGCCCTGACCGGAAGTCGAATCAGTGACCTTCTGGCACATGGGACAACGCTCAGACCACTGAGCCCCACAGGCCAGGGCTTGGGTCTTTTTAACTTGGGGATGAAGGTGACAGGGCTAAGTTGGAGGCCCCTCTGTCCCCTTTGCATTGCTCCACTTCTGCCTCAGAGGCCCTGTCTTTGTGAACTGGGGGGAGAAGTCTAGAGGTCTGCTGTGGGTGTGAGCTCCTCGAGCGCTTTTGCCCTGGCAGGTGGTTTTAGACTAGGCCCACAAATGACAACCATGGTCGGTGTTGCTAAGCACCTTGTGTGTTTCTCCTGGGATTGGTTTTGGGGTCACACATAGCCATGGAGTTTGTTTATAGCCCAGCAGGTGAGAGAGTCACCTGTGTGTCCGTCCCTGCTTCCAGGTGTGACCAGGTGTGGGCACCTTGTTGGTGAGGGCGCAGGTAAGAGACTCTTGGGGAGGAAACTCCTGGAGGCTGAGCGGAGGCAGTGGGCACAGGAAAGCCTCGGGGAAGGGCTTGAGAAGAGGAGGCATCTGGGAAGAGAATGGGAGGCGGGGGGGCGGGCATGGACTCTGTAAGGGGGTGGGTTGTCACTGGCCACTGGGTGGGAGAAAGGCCGTAGGCAGCAGAGGCCCCCAGAGGCGGATGAGGATAGCCACCACCCTGGCAAGAGATAGCTGAAGGCCTGGCCTTGAGGGTGGCAGAGAGGAGGGAGGAAATGTGTGGGCTGGAGAGTCCCTTTGGGGGGCATCAGTGAGAACTGGCTGGTTGATTAGATGGGGTGGGGGTGACACAGGCTGTGAGTAGCTGGTCTCACTGCCCCCAGCAGCGTGGGCATCCATGGGCTTCGAGGGGGGGGGGGGGCACTGAGCAGGGAGCACTCGTTACCCTAATTCCTGATAATTATGGCAATTCCTGATAATTATGGTGGTGGTGCTGCATTTTAGTTCATAAGGCTTTAACAGATCACTATGTCACCACTTCCCTGCACAGCCCGTGTGTGCTTCTCCCTTGAGCGCCCCAGGGCCAGGCACCCCATCTCCTCCAAGTCACTGCTCCATCTCCAGGGAGGGCCTCTCTGGAGACACCCTCTGCTCCCTGGGTGGGCTCCATTGGGTGGGCTCTTATTCTTTCAATATGTTTTTTTTATTGATTTCAGAGGAAGGGAGAGGGAGAGAGAGATAGAAACACCAGTGATGAGAGAGAGTCATCGATGGGCTGCCTCCTGAATGCCCCCACTGGGGATCCAGTCTGCACCCGGCAGGTGCCCTGACCTGGAATCAAACTGCGACCTCCTTGTTCATAGGTGGGTGCTCAGTCATTGAGCCACACCCGTGGGCTCTTTTTCCTACAGGCCATTTGTTTAGCCGGGATTTGGCTCTAGAGCCCTGCCCTTCCTTGTAATGAGCTCAGAACCTGGATGGTCAGAGGCCAGAAGTCCTCCCCAGAGGTCCTGAAACAACCTGGCCAAATGTCCCGGCTTCAAAACTTTACACCAAAAACAAGAAAACAGCTCAGAATTCCTCCCTGAGACTTAATCCTGGTAAAAATTAAAGTACCAACACTATGAGAATCTTTGGCTGCTCTTTGCTCTTGGGGTAAAACCCCAAATGCTTAACATCCAAACAGTGCTCACTGACCATCTCAGTCCACCTCTTGTGAGCTTAGCAGGGAGGGAAAGAGACGGGGTCCCTGCCCTCCCAGCTACAGGTCAGTGGGGGCTTGAGGCAGTGAGCAGAAATGTGTCAAGTGGAGATAGGTAAGACGATAGGGAGGAATTGGGCAGGACGGAGGTTAGGGGTAACGGGGAGCCTCTGACAGGTGCCATGGGAGCCATGCAGGTCTCTAGGTGAAGTGCCCCAGGCAGGGCAGTAGCCTGTGCCAAGGCCCTGGCATAGAGGGTGGCCAGTGTGTGTGTGGGGGGCACCGGAGGGTCTAGCGAGGAATGCTGTCGGGGTGTGTGTGTGTGTGTGTGTGTGTGTGTGTGTGTGTGTAGATTCTAGGGGCTGGGAGAGAGTAGCCATTGGAGGGTCCTGTCAAAATTCAGGTAAGGGAGACAGTGGCCTGGACCAGGTGTGTGTTAGAGATGGCAGGAGAGAACTTTCTCCTTAAGATTTTACCCAATTTAATAAGTGCAGCTGTCTTGATCTCAGGGGACAGCATGCACCACACCTCTGTGAGCCAAGGCCGAACCACCCAGGTTGGACCACACAGGTAGAGGTGGGAGGCAGGGGCGGGAGTGGGGGGGGCAGGACTGTGGTGGGGGCAAGTTGAGGTTGGGCCTTTATTTATTTATTTATTTATATACATTTTTATTGATTTCAGAGAGGAAGGGAGAGAGAGAAACATCAATGATGAGAGGGAATCATTGTCAGCTGCCTCCTGCACGCCCCCTACTGGGGATCGAGCCCACAACCAGGGCATGTGCCCTGACTCGGAATTGAACCTGGGACCCTTCAGTCTGCAGGCCGACGCTCTATCCACTGAGCCAAACCGGCCAGGGCAGTGATGGCGAACCTGTGACACGCGTGTCAGAGGTGACACGCGAACTCATTTTTTTGGTTGATTTGTCTTTGTTAAATGGCATTTAAATATATAAAATAAATATCAAAAATATAAGTCTTTGTTTTACTATGGTTGCAAATATCAAAAAATTTCTATATATGACACGGCACCAGAGTTAAGTTAGGGTTTTTCAAAATGCTGACACGCCGAGCTCAGAAGGTTCCCCATCACTGGGCCAGGTCGGGCCTGTAGATGCCATGTGGATAGTGGGCCCAAGCTCAGGAAGGCCAGGCTGGAGCGCGCTGTGTGTTGTGTGAAGATGCCATCAAAGCAGGAGGGCGGTCACCTGGAGCAGCGGTCGCCAACCCGTGGCCCATGAGGTCCAAAGGGCTGGGGGCCGCTGGCCTAGAGAGAGGAAAGGAGAGGACTGGGCTGATGGGGAGGAGAGCAGGCAGAGTGGCTCCTCGACCCGTTTCCTGAGTCAGATGCCACCACTGGACAGTCCAGGGCCAGGGGAAACGGGGGGACCTGGTAGGCTGGCAGCCTGGAGCCGTGGGCCAATGTGGTGGGACCAAGGGCCGCTTCTTTAAAAGCCTTCTGCTCCTGGGTATGCGGTAGCCCATGCCCTCCTCCCGCCCTGAACCCCCAGCTAACTCCATCTTGCTACCCGTCTCTGGTGTCTATTCCCCTGGTCTTCACTGCTCCTGCACTGACCCCAAAGTGGGCAGGGGCCCTGCTGGAACCCTAGCTGCTCTCTTCGCCCAGAGGGGGGCACAGTGAGCAGATCTGGGCTTTTCATATCCATTCTTTCGCCAGTGGATGTGGGCCTGGGGATGCAGGCCACTTGAGAAGGCTCAGGAAGCCTCTAGAACAGTGATGGCGAACCTTTTGAGCTTGGCGTGTCAGCATTTTGAAAAACCCTAACTTAACTCTGGTGCCGTGTCACATATAGAAATGTTTTGATATTTGCAACCATAGTAAAACAAAGACATATATTTTTGATATTTATTTTATATATTTAAACGCCATTTAACAAAGAAAAATCAACCAAAAAATGAGTTCGTGTGTCACCTCTGACACGCGTGTCATAGGTTCGCCATCGCTGCCCTAGAAGGGGAGGAATCACAGGAGTGAGTTGGACAGGGGAGCTTGGGGTACAAGGGGCTGGGAAGACGATTGGGCTGGAGAGGGGCAGACGCTGGAGATTGCTGGAGGGTGCAGCTTCGGAATCGGGGGGGTCCTGGGCTGGAGGCACTGCCAAGAGGAGGGTGGTGGCGTGGTGCAGACTGTGGCCAGGCTCAGAGAACTGCTGCACCCCCCCTTGTCCTTCCTTAGTGCACACCGCCTTCCAGCTCACCTTATAACTTGCCTCCTTGTGTTGTTGCTCCACTGTTCCTCCTCACAGGCAGCAAGCCTCCAGCGGGACAGGGGTCTGTAGTGTTCACTACACAAGGCGCTGTTGGGCAAATGTTTGTTGAATGAATGAATGAATGGATGGATGGAGGAAGGAAGGAAGAGGATTCAGTGTAAGGGCAGATGTATGGGGCAGGTCCTGGGGGCAGGACAGAGGGCTGGAGCTGGCAGGGGCGTCTGATGGGTGCGGAGCCTGGCTGGGAAGGGTCAGAGAGCAGGAGGATGAGTCCAAACAAGTTTATTTTCAGATGGGGCGAGCAGCCAGGGGTGAGTGGCCAGTTAAGTGGGAGGCTCCGGCCTGCCCTTGGGGAGTCTAAGGTCTTGGATCCAGAGCCCCTCCCCCAGCCCTCCTGAGTCCTCGCTGGGCAGGAGGAGGATCCTGGGGCTCCCAGAGGGGCCATGCCGGTGGAGTGGATGGCTTTGGAATAGCTAGGGGCTGGATCTTGTCCCTCTGCCAGCTGGTATAGAAGACAGATGGGAGGGGAAGCAGAGGTGGAGGCAGAGGATGGAGAGGCCTGGGAGGCTGTATGGCCTGGGAGGCCTGCAGGCTTTCCTGTGTGGCCTGCAGAGGGCGCTGCTGGTTGGCAAGTGGCCCATGCTCTTGGGTTGGGCAGCTGCTGAGTTTTGGGGGGGGGGGGGGGGCATACCAAGCACTTTGGGTGTTTGGCAGCTGAATGGAACTGCTGGCCCCATCTCCCCTCACCCACCCACAGTGCCCCAGACTTCCTGGGGGCTGGTACAGAGTTGGCAGACAGGGATCTCCAGGAAGAGGATGGGGCCCAGGGACACCTGGAGGAGGAAGGCCTCAGCAGGCAAGACTGGGAGTGAGTGGGTGCTGGTGCCGTGTGCACGGCTCAGGGTGTCTGCTGAGAGGCCCCACGTCGCGCAGTCAGGAGTGACACCCAGGAGCCCTTTCTCCAGGCAGAAGACCTCCCGGGGCCAAGGCTGCTCTGGGGTCTTGGCATCAGTAGGATGGGCTAGGACTTGGTCCACAAAGGAGTATTGGACTGACCAGGATTGGGCCTGGAAATGGGGGTTTGTGGCTGCTGGCAGTGTTGCCTAGAGGAGGGGCCTACCGTCTGGGTATTGATGGATGTGTAGGAGTTGGCCAGGCTGAGAAACTAGGGAGGAGGCCATCTCCTGTGAGGGTGGAGGCGATGGGGCATTTGGGGGACTAATGTGAGGCTGGGGGTGGGTGCAGTGAGGACTCAGTGTGGGCCCCCTCCCCCTGGTCTCCACCTGCCCCACGGAAGGCAGGTGCCTGGCCTGAGAGCCCCTCCAGGAACCCTGGGGGCGGGGTTTGAGGCTGACCAGACCCCGGGCCTCCTGAGAGCCTGAGCCACTTCCACCCGGCCTGCAGGTTGGCGCTGTATGTGTATGAGTACCTGCTGCACATCGGTGCCCAGAAGTCAGCACAGACCTTTCTGTCTGAGGTAAGCGGGCCCTGCCTCTACCCTACCCCAGGGTCCTCTCCTCCGGCTTCTGTCAGGGCTCCAGTGGTGGTGCCCCTGAAGGCCCCAGGCACTGAGGGCTGGGGTGGGTCAGGCTCGGCGGCTGGCATAGAGGCGTCCGTCTGCCCATCTGAGGATCTGCTTTTCACTCCTCTGCCCTTGCTGTACCCAGTTGTCCCTGCCCAGCTACCTTGCTCTGGCCCGCTGGCCCCTGGCCCGTGTTCCCTGCCTGAGGTGGGTTGGCGGGTCTAGCAGCCTGGGCAGCAGCTCCTCACCTGCCTTCCTTCTCCCGTGCAGATCCGATGGGAGAAGAACATCACGCTGGGGGAGCCCCCAGGTTTCCTGCATTCCTGGTGGTGGTGCGTGTGGGGCTGGCCTGGGCAGGCTGTGGAGGGGGGTGGGGGGGGCGTGTGGGAAAACCATCATCTCCTGCCGCCCACAGCGTGTTCTGGGACTTGTACTGCGCAGCGCCTGACCGCAGAGAGGCATGTGAGCACTCCAGTGAGGCCAAGGCCTTCCAGGACTACGTGAGTCCCGCCCCAGGGACCCGGCACGGGCAAGGTGGCGGGCCTGGGCCTGGGGCGGGGGCGGGGGCGGGGGCGGGGATGGGAGGGTGCGTGGCCTGTGGGTTTGCTTAGGAGGCTGAGCGCCTGGGTTCCTGTGTCCTCCGCTGGGCCTCCGGTCACTCACAGGGAGGCTCATTCCGCTGCACGGGAGCCCCCACACCTTCCTGAGGCCAGGCCCTCCTCGTCCTCTTCACTTGAGTCCCTGGTCCAGGCTAGACAGACAGTAGCTCCTGCCTCCACCACCACCTGTCCCTGCTGCCCTGGCCTTTCTGAGCCTCCTGAGGCAGGAGCCGAGCCAGGGTCTCGGGGGTTTAGCTGACACCACCCGGGACACTTCCTGACCTTGTTCTGTGACTGGGCTGCTAACTCACCGCTTTGGCCTCGGTTTCCCTCTTGGTTGATGGGGGAGGGGCAGCACCAGAGGCCTGTTTACTAGCAGAGCCTGGGGGGAGGAGTGACATGAGGGGATGGGTGGCATCCCCTCTGCCTTTATCCTCTTCACCCTGGCCCCTCAGAGAGGTCAGGGGCAGACCAGGGAGGTCAGCTGGCCCTGCCTCTCCACCTCCCAGGCTGTGGGCCCAAGGCCAGGCAGGGACGCAGCCAGCTTCCGAGGGAGGTACGGCCCCCTCCTCCTGTGCACCCAGCTGGTGCCCTCACCTCTTTCCCTCAGGCCTCCCAGGGTGTAGCTGCCCCCACCTCTCTCTTTGCAATGGCACCTCAACCCAGGGCTCTGCAGGGCCGGGGTGCAAGAGGGTTAGGGGTTCACATGTCCCGGAAGTTGCCCCACGTACACTGTATGTGCATGCATGGAAGCCGGGGTCCCTGCTTTCGCCCTCATCAAATCCCTCTGTGCATTTGTGCAGTTCTGCCAGACCTGGGGCTCAGGGGTGCCTGGAGCTGTGTCCCTCCTTGTGCCTCTTCGTTGTCCCTGGGGCCATTCCCCTCACGGCTCTGGCCCCCACCTGAGTCTGATGACTTCTGGGGCCTCCTGGGAGGATGAGACACTAGGGTTCCACATTCGTGTGCATGTGCTTCCCTGTGCGCACCCGTTACCATGGCAGCAGGGCGCCTGGGGGAACCCGTGTAGGCACAGCAGTGGGGGTGCGGAGGGTGATGGGTCCCTGCAGCTCCCACTCTAGTTGGAGACATCTTGCCTGCCCTCCTAGGGGGCCTCCAGCCCTTCCCCCACACACACTCCCCACCCCTGCCACTCCCCACCCCCACCAGGCCATTCGAGCATCTCCAAGAAACGCCAGCACACCAGCCAGCACACCAGCCAGCACACCAGCCAGCACACCAGCCAGCACACCAGCCAGCACACCAGCCAGCACACCAGCCAGCACACCAGCCAGCACACCAGCCAGCACACCAGCCAGCACACCAGCCAGCACACCAGCCAGCACACCAGCCAGCACACCAGCCAGCACACCAGCCAGCACACCAGCCAGCACACCAGCCAGCACACCAGCCAGCACACCAGCTAGTTGTGGTGGCAATGCTGGCTGGGTGCTTTTGGGTGAATGATTGATGCAGGGGACCCAGGGAGGCTATGTATTAACCCTTCCAGGCCTAGAGTTGGGGAGCCACAGTGGTGTGGGGTACACCATACCTTCCCCCTCGTGGTCCTGAGTTCTGCTTGCAGCCTTCCAACCTCCACCGCCCTCTCCTCCCTGACCAGGAAATGCTCTGGCGTCTGCTGTGCCTATTGGGTAGGCAGTGTGGGTGGACAGACCCAGAGCACAGAATGTGTCCCCCTACAGCCCCCAAAGCGGTGCCTGCCAGAGTAGCTGCTGCAGGCTGTTGGGCTGTGTGCTGTGCGGTAGTGGGGTGGCGGCAGGGGGCCCCAGGGGCTGAGAGCTTTGTCTCCCCCACCGCTACCCTCAGCGTTGCTTGGGCTTTCAGATGAGTGACCTGTGCTGGGCCTGGGAACGCCCTTCGCCACTGTAGGTCTGGGGAGGCTCTCCCAGTCCCCCCCGCCTGGGGCCTGGCAGGAGTCCTGTGGAGGCAGACCTTTGAGAAGGAGCAGGAAGGGTGCCGGGCTGCAGTTCGTTTAGGGTGGGGCGTGTCTTCAGGAGCCCCTTGCCCCACTCCTGTGCGGCAGGGTTAGTGCTGAATTCTTCTGAGTCCGAATGGCTGCCGTTCCACAAATTCCTGAGAACCCTGGTGTTGGCTTGTGCCAGCCTCAGGAACAGCAGTGATGAAGACAGACTCCCCGCTTACTCCTGGGGCTTTGGGGGGAGGATGGGTGATGCAGACAGGAGAGGAGGGGCCCCCAGAAAAGTGCCCGCTACTCAGTGCCCTTCCCTATCCTTTGATGTGTTCCCTCTGCCCTATAGACTAGCCTTCCATTCCCCCCACCCCCCGCTCTGTGGGTCCCCAAAAGCTGACACGCCTGACCAGAGGAAGTGACTTGTCAGCCTGCCCCCTGCATCTCTGCCCTTGGCCCACAAGATAATGCCCCTCTAGCACCTGGCCTTCTCCCCTCCTCCATCTGAAGAGAGATTGGGGGCCTGGAAACTGTACCCAGAGAGTCCAGTTCTTCTGGGAGGGCAGGGGTCGTCGTCTGCACAGCTGCTCTGAGGAGGAACCCTGGGGAGGGAGTTACATCTTCAAGCTGTTGACTGACTTTTTGTCTGTTTATTTGGCGTGTGTTGGGTGGAGCTGGGGGTCCAGCTAAGCTGCCTTGCCAGCCAGGAGGACACCAAGTGTGTGGGGAAGGGCCTGGGGTAGGTAGGGGATGGTGCCCCTACCCAGTGGAGGTTGGGTTCAGATGGAAAGCATCAGCCTGTGCTGGATCACTGAGTGCACGCCAGTCCTGGATGGTTGGCATTTTCCGACCTCCACATTCCTCAGCTTGGGACTCAGGGCTGGGAATCTCTGGATCCCTGTCCTCCTTCATGAGCTGTATGGGCTCAGCCGGGCTCGGCCCTGACCACCTCCAGGTTTTCAGGTGCAGCAAGGAGGCAGAGCCTCTTCAAGGCCACCCAGCAAGTCAGAGTCTGTGGACTTGTTAGGGTGTTAAACTGGGGTGGGAACAGGGGCAGCTGTTCTGTCTCCTAGGACCCCAGCCATCCTCCCCTGCGTGGACAGAGGGTCAGATGGCTTGGGTGCCCTGTTCTGTGGGATTGGCTACTTGCTGAGGGAACGCTGGGGCAGAACTGGCCTGACCACACCTCATGTCTCCCCCGCCCTGCAGAGCGCTGCCGCTGCCCCCAGCCCTGTGATGGGGAGCATAGCCCCCAGCGATGCAATGGCAGCTGGCCCCATGGCACCTGGCTTCTTCCAGGTACAGCCAGGGCTGGGGCCCTTGTCCCCCTGACTCTGGGTGCACATGTGTCAGAGAATGACAGGCACAGGTGCCAATGGGTGTGGGTCCCACTTCGGGAGAAACCCTGAGGCAGGCAGGCTGGAGCTGGTTGGGAAGGCTGCAGCGGGGATGCACGTACGGGCCTTGGTGGGGCTAGCGAAGGAGGGGCTGCGGGGTTTGAGCCCAGGGCAGGAAGGGTGGGATCTCTGCACACTAGACCTGTGTGTGTACATGCCAGGGTGCCTGGGCCCACAGAGCGTGCTCTGAGCCACAGGTCCCTCCCGTGACCCCTCCTGGAGGGGACATCCCCAGCCTGCAGATAGGTGAATGGCCCACCCTCCCACCTCTAGGCAACACTGCCACTTCCCCTCCCTTGCCCAGACTTAGCAGGGCCTCAGGAAACAGTAGCTCTTCCCAACCCACCTGGTTCTGTCCTCCTAGGGCCCCCTGGGCTCCCAGCTGCCCCCCCACAACCCCAACACCCCCATGATGGGGCCTCACATTCAGGTAAGGACTTGTGACACCCCTGTCCCTTTGCCCATGCACATCCCGCTCCTCTGTGCTCACACACACCGGGAGCTAGCCACTAGGGCTTGTTGGCTAGGCCTGGAGATGGGGTAAGTCAGGCTCTGGGCCTGGGCACAGCAGGAACCAGGTAGCTTTGGGGGGGAGAGGGGAGTGGGTAGGGGGCAGTGCTGACCCCTGGCCCACTTCTTCCAGCCCTTCATGTCACCCAGGTTCTCAGGGGGCCCCCGGCCCACCCTGCGGATGCCGAGCCAGGTGAGAGAGGGAAGGCAGACTGGAGGAGGGGAGTGGCAGGAGCTAGGTGGGGGAAGGGCACCCACACTCATTGCTGCCGTGCCCCTTTTGCAGCCCCCTGTGGGCCTACCCGGCTCCCTCCCTGGTGCCATGGACCCCTCCCCGCGTGTTCAGGGTGAGTAGAGAAGCACCAGCTGGGGTTCACCATCAGGACCCCAGCTTTCATGCTCCATCTCCGCTGCCTCACTGTACACTCCGCTCCCCCAGGTGTGTGTCCACACTGCGGAGTGGTCCCAACCTGAGCCACCTCCCTTTGCTCCCACCCCAGGGCATCCGAGCATGGGCCCGATGCAGAGGGTGACTCCTCCACGGGGCATGGCCAGCGTTGGGCCCCAGGTAAGGGGTGGGCCCAGGGGGGCTTCAGGGGCTCTCCCCTCTTGGCCTGTACTCAGGGCCCTTTCCCCTCACAGAGCTATGGAAGTGGCATGCGGCCCCCACCCAACTCCCTCGCTGGCCCAGGCCTGCCCACAATGAACATGTAAGGCCCTAAAGGGACCCCTGGAGTCTGCCCATGGGGGCCACCACCCAGCTTCTTGGGCTGGATTAGCACAACAGCCTGGGATATTACTTATTCCACTGTTGGGTGGGAAAAGTAAGGCCTGAAGGCCAGTGAGTGATGGGTTGGGATTTTCAAGTGCTTAGCACTTAGTCAACATCTGCTGTTTCGGGGCCCAAGGTGTGGGGCGGGGGAGGAGTGCTGCTTGTCCAGCTCTAGGTTCCATCTGCCATCTCTAATAGGGGCCCCGGAGTGCGTGGCCCATGGGCCAGCCCCAGTGGCAACTCGGTGAGTCGGGGAGTGGGGCAGTGGGTAGGGTGAGGGGTGTGGGGGACGGTGGGCGGACTGCTCACAGCTGCCTCTCTCCCCAGATCCCCTATTCTGCCTCCTCCCCTGGCAGCTACACGGTGAGTGGGGGCCTGGGGCCACGCTGATCACTCAGAGGGTGGCAGCAGGGCCTTCCTAATGTTTTGTCTGCCTCTACATGCAGGGACCTCCAGGAGGTGGTGGGCCCCCTGGCACACCCATCATGCCCAGCCCCGGAGGTACTAGGGCCTGGGTGGCGAGGGGAAGGGTGTGCTTGAGGGAGGCCTCTCACACCCAGGCCTTCATGCCTCGTCTTCCCCAGACTCCACCAACTCCAGCGAGAACATGTACACCATCATGAACCCCATGGGGCCAGGCGCTGGCAGGGCTAACGTAAGTGCGGGGTTGTGGGGTAGAGGCTGCTCTGGTGGCAGGTGGCCAGAGTCCCACACCACCCCTCTGCCACAGTTCCCACTGGGCCCAGGCCCCGAGGGCCCTATGGCAGCCATGAGCACGCTGGAACCTCACCACGTGAACGGATCTCTGGGTGAGTAAGCGGCCTGGGAACCACCCCCACAGGCTGCCTTGCTAGCCTCATGCTCTCACTGAGTGCCCCCCCTTTCCTCCACCTGTGTTCCTTGTAGGGGCATCGGGTGGCGCCCTGAGCTTTCCTGGGCGACTCAGTGCTTGGGCTGCACTGGGTGAGGGTCCAGTAACTAAACCGTGGGGACACCCCTTCAGGCCCTCCTTCCAGACCCCCAGTGGGCTGAGCTGAGGGGTTGGGTGCAGCCGTGGTAGGGTGGGCGGGGGAAGAGGGGAGCAGGGAGGTGGAGCTCAGGGAAAGGTGGTGTACCCCGGCTCAGACGCCGAGCCCCGTGTCCCCTTGTGTCTGTCGTCCACAGGCTCCGGCGACATGGACGGGTTGCCGAAGGTGAGGGGCCGCGCTCAGGCATAGCTGGGGTGTGGGGCGGCCGCGCAGGGGACCCGGCGGCGGTGGGGTCAGGACTGGAGTCTTGCGCTGATTGCGGCTGCCCCCAGAGCTCCCCTGGCGCCGTGGCCGGCCTGAGCACTGCCCCCGGCACCCCGCGGGATGACGGCGAGATGGCGGCCACCGGGACTTTCCTGCACCCATTCCCGAGCGAAAGTGTAAGCGACTGCGTCGACTCCCCCCCTGCAGCGGCGTCGGGCCGGAGGGGCCTGGCGGGCAGGCCCCGGCGGGGCGGCCGGGGGGCCAGAGCAAGACCGTGACCGCGGCGGGCCAGGTGGGGGGGCGGCCGCGGCATCCTTCCCCTCCCCCCTTCCCCTTCCCCTTCCCCCACCCTGTCCTGGTCTCACATGCCTACCTTGCCCCCACCCTGTGACCACGCCCCAGGGGCCTCACCTCCCTAACTTGGACTCCTGCTCCTTACCCCTCTCCACCTGTGCCCCACCCAGTCCATTTGTCCTTCTTCCTGGGGGGCGGGTCCCAGCCTAGGCGGGAGCTGAGCCCCCCCTCCCCCTTGCGCGCCACCCCTCGTCTCTCCGCAGTACTCGCCTGGGATGACCATGAGCGTGTGATGGGGCAGCAGCCCCTTGCCCAGTGCTGGCCGCCTCCTCTGCCCAGAGCCCCTGCCAAGGGCCAGGGGCCAGGGTGGTCTGCAGGGGGAGGGTCTGAGGTCACACCTCGGGCAGCTGGACTCCTGGTCAAGGCTTGGAGGCCCCGCATGAAGGACTCATTTTATTAAAAACAAAAACGCAAGGACCTCAGAGATGCTCTTTTCTGTATGGGCTCGACCCCCACCCTCACCTGTTTCTACTTTGTCCTGGGGGACTCCTCTGGACCTCCTTTCCCCTGGGCAGGAAGGGGTGAGCACCCATCAATAAATGTAACTTGTTTTGGTTTTTGGTATCTGGTCTCAAGATTACTCCATTTTGGCTTGTAGCCACGTCCTTCACCCTGGGATTTCAGCCCCACCTTCAGCGGGGTTCTGGAAGGTCCCTGAGGAATGGGAGAAGTTTTGAAGGGTAGTTGAGAGTCTTTACGAGGTGAAAAGTTGGGGGATGGATAGGGTTAGGTCAAAGTCCCCCAAGACCCACAGGTGTAGTTGATACTGGCAATGTCTTTATTGTCTTTGGGAGGCCTGGAAGGGTGGATTCAGAGGGGCAGAGGGGTAGGAGTCGCTGGGAGCTGTATGGCCACTGCCTCAGGTGGTGTGCATCAAGGTGCCTCAACCTGCGAGTGCCCGTTGGCATCACCAGTACAGTTGTTGGAGGCCAACGGTGCCAATTCTTTCTTGGAAGACTGGAGGCAGGCACTGGCCACATGCCTCATGTGCTTGAGGCCAGGGCGTTCCATCTTGTGCTCCAGAAGCATGTGGTTCTGCGGCGGAAGCCCCACGCAGGCCCTGGAGGGTGGAGGGGTTTCAGCAGGGCCTGTGAGCAGCCCGGCCCCGAATGAACATAGGACCAAGGTTCCCCCCCCGCCGTGGGCTCCCCCAGGTGGGGCGCACCTGAAGATGTTCTCGATGCAGCTGCGCTGTCGGAAGAGTGAGTTGACCACAGGGCTGCCTGGTGGAGCCAGTGGCGCCTTGAAGAGGAAGCCAAGCAGGGATAGCACCGGGTGGAAGCCCTGGGGTTCCAGGTCTGAGTCGGTGCAGAAGCTCACGCGCTGGCACAGTTCTGTCAGCAGCACCAGATCCAGCATGATAGGCGCGGCCAGAAGCGAGTCCTGTGGGGCCAGTGGGTGGTCAGGTGGTGGGTGGGTGTAGGCAGGTGGGGGGGGTCCTCACTCCCGTCCCCCGCATTCCACACCTCGCAGGTGTTGTGCAGCACCAGCGTGTTGGTGCCGCCCAGCATCAGCTCCGACGTGTACTCGTCCATTGCGCGTTTGCTGTCGCCCACATATGGCACATATTTGATAACCACCTGGGGGGCGGAACTGGGTCACATGGATTGCCCTCCTCCACCAGGGGCCCCCCTCCCCACCGCCTGCACCCCACACACGCAGTGGTCAGGCTCCTCGCCGGGTGCATAGAGCACCGGGTTGCTCTGCACCATGTCGTCTACCACATTGCTCTTGGACACCTCCTTGGAGCGGAACTGCGGCGGCGCCGACAGGTTCTGCCCGTCGTTGTTGCCCAGGTGGTTGTAGCTCACGATGGACATGGGCTGCAAGACAAAGGACCATGAGGATGCTGTAGACCCCACAATGGAAGAGCAATTCAGGAGCCTGAAGCTCAGGATTAGATCCCACCCCCTGAACCAGGTACCCCCCAGGCCTGCCCACCTTGAGGCCGGAGCTGATAAGGAAGTCAACCAGCACAGACTTGACCTTGGTCTGACCTGACTTGAAGTCATCTCCGCCCACAAACACACGGCGCTGCCAGGCGAGCTCGAGTGCGCCGGGCACCAGAGTGTTCTGTGGGGACCCATTGAGGAAGGCACAGCCCTCCAAGATGCTGGCCACAGCGAAGAGTGTGGAGGGTGACACCTCCAGACCTAGCTGCGGGCACAGGAAGACAGTCAGTCAGTGTAGGGATCCTTGGGGCTGGCCCTGACCATGCTCCACTCTGGGTGCACCCACCTGAATGGTACGCAGCAGGTTTTCTGCGGTGTCATTGAGGCCTGGGACCAGTTCGCAGAAGCGCTCCGTGTTTGCTGTCCACAGCACAATGACTTTGTCCAGCCCTGCGCTGGACCGGAAGTCGCGGATGTCCCTTCGGATCTGCTCCAGCTAGGGAGCGGGGGAAGATAGTACAGATCCCCTGTGGAGGCCTGGGCTACTGACCTCCCCAAGTGCAAAGAGAGCCGGGACCCTCGGGATGGGGGCGGGGGGGACAAAAGGAGGGCAACGTGGGGCGAATGGGAAACAGGTGGCAGGGGGAGGGGCAAATGGTAGTGGGAGCAAGTGCTGCACCTGCTGCGCACGCGTGCCAGGGATGAGGTTGTCCGCACGCGCGCTCTGGTTAGCTGCGATGAACTCTGGGATGTAGACGGAGGGCCTTGGGCGCAGGGTCTCCATGTGCGGCCACAGCTGTTCCTGCAGCCCCCAATCTAGCACCTTCGCGCGTCGCATGGCCTCAGCCAGATTCAGCGAAGATATGTCCCAGCCTGGGGGCGACCCTCAGGCTCATCCAGGTCCTACAGCTGGGCCCCTCTAGGCCCCGCCTCCCACCCAAGCCCGGCCCAGGGCCCCGCCCACCATCGACAACGAGGTCGTCCGGCGACACCATAGGCAGCAGCGCGTGGAGGGGCACGAACACCTCTTTGCCTTCAGCGTCCAGGCCCAGGCTAACGGTGCCTGCCTGCGTCAGCGAGCCGTAGTAGTTGGCCTCCTGGGGGCAGCGGTGGAGGGTTGGGGGTGGGAACAGGGTAGGCGTGGTGTGAGCAAGCTGGGGTGGAAGCTACCCGCCCTCTGGAGGTACCTTTCCAGAGCCAGCCACCACCTTAGGCTCTGCTCCTTGGAGTCCCGCCCCCGTGGAAGCCCCTCCCCGTGGACCCATCCTCTCAGAGCCAATCTCCTGCTTGGACTCCAGCGGAGACCTAGCTTCCGCAGCACCCAATTCGACCCCCACCTTACGACCCGTGCGGGTGGGCCAGGACAGGCGCAGCCGATTGGCCAGCACGGCAGCGGTGAGCGTGGAGCCGTTGTTGCCGCCCCAGCCGACCAGCATGACCCCGAGCCGGGGCACCTGCCGGGCGGTCCGGAAGGTGAAGCGCGTGGCTGAGGGGTGTACCTGAGGGCGGGCAGTGCAGTGAGCCCAGAGCCGCAGACGTTGGGCAATCCCACCCCCTCCTGGCTCTCTGGGTCCCCTAGCCCCCAGCCCACCTTGAGGACGCCATCCTCGCGGCTGACGCTGGTCGTCCGGTACTCGTACTGCGCCTCGATGACCTCGGGGCTGTAGACCACGTCGGGGCTCTCGACCACAAACTGTGCTGCAGCCTCCATCGCAGCGAGCTGGGGGTAGGGGGTTGGCAGGAAGTCAGCAGGAACACGAGAACAAGCCGAGCGGGCTTTTATTTTTATATTATTGATTTGAGAAAGAGAGGAAGGGAGCGAGAGAAACATCGATTTGTTGTTCCACTTACGCATTCATTGACTGGTTCTTGTGTGTGCCCTGGCAGGGACCCGCAACCTTGGCGTGTGGGTACCACGCTCTAACTGGACCCGTACCCCACCAGGGGCCCCACTCACCAGCGCAGAGTCTGTTGATTCCCTGGACCCGCACCCCATCTAGAGCCCCACTCACCGGCGCAGAGTCGGTTCAGACAGGCGGTGCCACCGCTCCGGGCGCTCGAACTCTAAAGAAAAGAGCCGAGGCCCCGCCCTCACCCCGCCTTTCGCTCCTCCCGCGCTGGGGAGGGGTGGGGGAGAGCCGGCAGAGGCCTTGGACTCGGGTTCGAGGCCCTACAGCGCACGGCCCAGGAGGCTATCATTCGTCCGCCCCGCCAGGCGCTGGCGGGCATTACGTGGGCTATAGACCCCGGCCCCAGCACGGGGTGTGTGGATTCACTTCTCACCACAGCCTGTTAGGGAGCCCAGCCTCGTAGCTCCATTTCACAAAAGAGGACATTAAGGCTGCAGGTGAGCACCAGGCCCCAGTTACAAGACAGGGTTCCTGGGCCTATGAGGGTGGGTGTCCCTGGGTCCGAGATACTACTGGGGAAACTGAGGCAGAAGACTGAGCTAGGACTGTACCTCAAAGCCAGACACTCTTCCAGCCCAGGCTGCCTCCCCTTCCTTCCTCAGTAATAGCCAAGCACGGGGACCTCTGACGGCTCACAGGGGGGTGGGGATGGGGGTCCTGGAACACCACGGTTCTGGTTCCCCAGCTGTAGCAGGACTTGGCAGGGCCAGGCTGGGGAGGGTGGCTGTTGGGTGGGTATGGGAGAAATGGGAATGGGAAGGACCCGGTCAGCCAGCTGGGGAGGAGCTAGGCTTGCACACCACTGCATCCTGCTAGCACCGAGTGATAAGGGAGCGTGGGAACTGGTGGGCAGGCGGGGGTTGCTCCCCCAGGAACTTTCCAAAACAAGCAGCCTCCTCTGGCTGAAAAGTTTCCACCACTGGAGTTGGCCCAAAAGGTGAATAGCTGGGAACATTCGCAGGAAACATGGTCAGGGCCTGAGCTTGTGGGGATGGGGGGGTAGGACTCTAAGACTGGCCCCAGGCTTTGCTCTCAAAGGGCCCCCAGGTGGGGAAGTTGGTAATGGACTACAGCAGCAGTCGCCAACCGGTGGTCCGCGGACCACTGGTGATCCATGAGGTCCGAAAGGTTGGTGACTGCTGGACTAGAGCATCCCCAGCTGGAGGGAACTCGGAGGGAGGGCTGGTCAGGGCAGGCTGCCTGTAGGAGGTGGCTGCTAGGAGGGGTCTTCAGATCTGAATACATCTCTTATCAAGAGATGTGAAGAGCTGCCCAGACAAAAAACCTGGGGGAGTGCATTCAGGAGCAGATGAAAAGGCAGCTGGGGAGGGGAAGGAAGGTGGTGTGGGGAACCAAGGCAGACCTCAGGGCTGGGGACGGAGAATATGGTGTATCTGGGTTTTGTCCCGGTTCCTAGGCAGAGCTTGAGTTTGATCAGTGGCCAGTGATTTCCTCAATCACATCCTATGTAATGCAGCATCCATAACCCCCCTAAACAACAGAGTCTGGGTGAAAACATGAGGTGCTGGGGAGGTGGCACACAAAGCGTGCAGGGAAGCCCTATGCTAGTCTCCATACCTTGCCCTTTGCATCTCCTCCCTTTGGCTGTTGGAAGTGGTTTTCTGAACACTGTGAGCCATTCTAGAAAATTACCAAACCTACGGGGGTTGTCTGAAAACCCAATTTATAGCCAGTTGTTCAGAAGTATGGGTGGCCGGGGACTTGTGGCTGGTGTCTGAAGTGGGGTGGGGGGCAGTCTTGT